GGGCTGCCCTGACGTGGCGCCAGCCTGTCCTCTCCAATAGTGAAAGTTGACCGGCGACCACGATTGGGAGAATGCAGCGCCGAGCCTTTCCCTCCCCCTCCGTCCCCTCCCTCCTGAAACGCCCGACTATCCAAGCACATCATTGTTACCTGACCATTACCCTGGGGTGTGCGGGGTCGTATCTAAGTAAGTAGAAAAGAGGGGAGGTGGCGGGCTGTTTGAAAAAACTGATCTTTTCTAGCACGATTTATAACTCTAAAATTGTTTGACTCGCCATATCAACAACACTGCTTGTACATCAATAGAATGCTGAAGTATTCACAAAAAGGCTGAGTTGTTCACAAAAAGATTGACCCCGTTGGGGAAACGTCGAACCCACAGCTCACGTTTACCAGGCAAGTGCTCTGTACACTACCAGGGTCACCTCTTACAGTTGCAGCATGACGGTTTCTCTGCAATAGGGCGTGGACAGGACGTGGATCGGAGCGATGTCAAGACAGCCTTTCCATAAATGATATTCTGAGTGCGCAACACTGACGGGAACAGCTGTTTTGGCTGCGGTCCAAATCACGCCCTTTGACAGTCCGCATCGCTTTTGCAGCGATCGTGACAACTATGCATCGATATCACTTGGATGATGGAACGGAAAGAGAAAGTAACTAAAGAACTGGAATGGAAAGGAATGTTCAAAGGAAGAGATTAAATCCACTGAACTCAGAAAAGAGAAGTGAACAGGATGAACAAATAAGGTGTTCTGAATCCCAACTAAGAGTCTGGTCTCTGATCTATCTATGAAATATAGATGTCCTACGAATGTCTCAGGCGTATATGAAATTTGACACGGGACACATCACGTTCCACCTAGCACGACCACAGACGGCTAAAAAAAGTGAAATCGTCATGGGAATAGCTTAGGCAAGCTCATGCTGCAGGGGGGGAATTTAGATCCATAGGAGAAAGAAGCATGGCATTAATCGGCTAAGGAGTCATTCCGCACTTCTGCTGGTTTCCTTTACAAGTTTCCTTTAAATTAAGTGCCTCATACGGGTGAGACCTACGGACTCTTGCCAAAGTAAACGAAGGTAGTGCTGTTGACTAGCCTCAGCAGATTCACATGAGGCGTCGGCAATAATTCCAAGCGAAGTTGGCTTTTATCAGCTAACTGGGTTGGGTATGTGACAAGAGAATAGTAATTCGCCACGTTGCTGGCCGTGGCGCGCGACGTCGCGCCCGCAAATGACCACGATTCCGGGTAAGGGAAGGTAGAGGATGGCGACAAAACGCAATTCAGAAGCAAAAATAGTCATGAATGTCTACGATGACGGGGTCTACATGAAGTCCGGTGCTCCAGTCGACAGGTTAACACGAGTTAAGAAACTGTCGCGCCCATCGCCGCGCGCGGCGGAGCGGCAAATTACGATTCTCTTGCCCGTCTCCCACCTCCGATAGCCCGTGTAGTCAACCGTAATCGCGAGGTCATTACAGGGAAGTATGCTTGATGTCGTTGACGCATTTTGAGTCAGAAGCAGTCAGAAATACTTGTCAGTTCGCTTAGTCAAGGAGTTAGCCAAGGATCTGTTGGAGTACACATAACAAGGTGGGTCTCATCGTATGGTTTGATACCCAGCTTTTTTTTGCGCACGAAACTGAAGTTCGAGATAATAGGAACTTACATTCAATGTAGCCGTCATCATTAAAAGATTTGAGAACAACAGTTGTGACGCTTTGCCACGTTCGTTACTGATCCAGAGGAATAATTGGCTCAGCAGGCGTAGGCGCTCGGCTTCGATAGTTTTCTTGCCAGTCGATGACAAGCCTTCAGCATCTGCAACATTTCACATAAATTCGTCGTCTTCACTTCGAAGTTTAAAGATAGATTTCCTCCATGAAGGTGCAGGGAATTATTTTGGGTACAATCCCGACGAGAGGGTGCAGACAAGCAGATGCGACGCAATCTCGCCCAGCCGCTGCATTCTCCCCCATCCCTCCGAGTGTTTTTCCCTTTTATTCAACTGAAGGTGAGAGAATGCCACGGATAGGGAAGCACCAATGGGAGACGTTCGATAGATTGTGATTTGCCGCTCCAACGCGTGCAAGGATGGGCCGCTCCAACGCGCGCAAGGATGGGTTTTTTTTTAATTCGCACAAACCTGTCGGGAGCGTAATTTATGTAGATAACGACATCGTAGACAGCTACAACCATTTTTGGTTATACATAACCGATTTTCGCCTTCTACGACCCAGAAAGATGCCAGTCACAGGCGCGACGGTCAGCGCGGACGCCTACCAACGTGAGCGAAGTGTCAAAAACGTCTTGGTTTACATCCGCTGCCGCACCAATGATTTTGAGATTATGGACGTTTCGCCCGCTTTGCACTCCGCTGGGCCGGCTACATGCTGACAGGAGATCGCCGTTTCTTTGGCAAATATTCAATATATTTAAAATCAAGCATAAAGCAAATAGCGTCAAAACTTACCCGGATTATGAAGTAAAAGCATTTTGTACAGTACGATATGATGTTGTTTGATCTGTAGACGCCGCATGAGCTTGAAACATCCTTCAATCAAGATCGTGTACATCTCTTCGCTGAAATATCGCCTTTACTTTCAGAAGACTGTTGAAAACTTAATGTTACAAAAAATGTTGTCCTTACGTATGGTTGATGTCGTTGACCTTTTCAATGAATGTACCATCGGATAAATTAAGCCGGTCGATTGTTACTTGCTCACAGTCTGGCTCTTGCTCTAAAAATGGCGATTGGTCTTCTTGTGAAGCGAAACAAAATTATTGATTTGATTTTATAGTTCACATCGTTAGTCACAGAAAATCAAAAATTTAACCAATCAAAGAAACAAATAGGACCGAAAAGCAGAGTGCACGATTGCTAGGGGGGGCGGCTGCTGCATAGTCATTGGTAGAAGAATTGGGCGTTTGAGAAGGGAGGCGTTTTGCCATACCCCACTCAGCTCTCTGCAAAAAGTTGTCAGTGACCGCTCGCCCTCAGACGTAGTGGCCACTGCTTTTGACTCATTCCGCGACTGGCAACTTATAAGGGCTGCATTCAAATATAATTTTAAGGGCGATGTTTGAACTTTCTCTTGTTGAGGTGAAAAAATGAGGGGGCGAACCCCAAATAAGGCCGGTCGGTGCGCAGCATTTTAACGAGGCAGCGCGATGAATAGAGGTCTCAGAGGCAAAGGAAGAACCAGAATCCTCGGACAGGGCAATCTCGTGGCGCTGGTATCGCAACCATATTACTAGCGTGTTTGCGCTATCTATATGTGGAACCAGGCCATGAGATTGCTATTATTTCAAATAATAAGCCTTTGGGGGGGGGGGAGGCGCAGTAGACAAAAGGTGCACATTGTTCAGCTGCGAACCTGCCCATCCTAAACAGTCTTACCTGCCCGCAACGTGTATCCAAAGTAACGGATGATTTCTATGACCTGCTGTACAGCCATGATCCCTGCAAACGACCTAGCATATGAGGGGAAGTGAATTATATTTGGGCCAAAGGCGGTCTTCCATCAAGTAGCGCCATCCTGAGCGCAACAACTGTAAGAAGGCTGGCTCTGGCTGCAATCGCGACGCGCACGCCCCTTCCACGCCCTATAGTGACTGCAAGGAATTATGAATTGTATCGTTTTAGCAGAGTAGCCAGCGCTGGCTCGTCCAGCGCCCAACCCACCATCACAGAAGAGAAGCAATGCTAAAAGCGACTCGTTTACATCATTAACCCCGCCCACCTATGAAAGACCCCCGTTGGATACGAATACGGCGGAGAAGGAAGGTGACTTTTTTCATCTTAGCTATGGTTGAACCTTCCCTAACGCATGTGTAGAAGGTGCAAAAGTAATTGTCATTCGGAAGTTCTCGAGTCAATAGAGAATTGACTAGTCTGATACAGTAAAATAGGAATCAAAAAGGAAAAGGAGAGAACGCGGGAATGCGAGCTTATTTTCGAGCCGAAATTCCATTCATTTTCGGCTAATTTTAGTCCTCCCTTCTTTGCTTGGACAGACTTTTGATTGATAATTATGTACTACTTACTTATTACTATGTCATTATCTTCCGGTGATGTTGTATAGTATGCTAATTGAAGCAACGGGAATATAGGAGCGAACGCCTTCATCAACGCCAGCTAAACGAATAGTGTTATATCCTCTAGTTATTGTGGTTATTACCAAAATATCTCGCCTTACCTTATCGTTAAGAAGTAACCGATCCATGATGGGTAAACATTTGCCCCATTCCATCATTAATGACAAATCGCGAACAAACCATGAACGCAGTGATTCGAGTGTACATTGGATGGGCAGCGTTGTAGTGTGCTGAAAAATTGAAAAAAAATTGACACAATCCAAAAATAGTCAATCGGAATGAACTTTGTCGAAACATAGGGCATAACGCTGCGAAGCGACGGCGGCGGTATTGGGAGGTGTGGAATGAGCCCTCCTGCGGGCTGTGTTTTTAGCCAATAGAAGTCGCGACCAGGGTGAAGAACAACCAGTGTATAAAACGGCGCGGCAGACGGATTTCATGAAACTGCCCCACGTCGTCGCCAAAGTCGCCACGCACACGCGCTTATATCCCCTACGTTCTCGTCAGCTAATTATCTGAGAGCTGTGCACTCGGCTGAACTAGGGAATGAAAGTGTCTGCTAATTGGAGCGATGGATAGCCAGATTAACAAAGATTCAGCAAATGCTCTGCTGGAATGCACTAAAATGGTAACATTACAGTTATAATTAGAAGAGCAGGGGTACAGTTGCTATCACTTAGTTAGTCAAGGCGTATTCGCATGGGGTTTGGAGTGACATCAGCCCCTCTACTCATAACCTTGAAGCGCAAGGATCGATGGAAAAAAGTGCTAGCGACGCACCAAAACCCCGCTGACATGCCCCAATCAACTTCACTGACAGCGGCTGTCCGCGTGGTCTGCGGTGAACATGCAGATACGGCGATATAACACGCGCATGGATGGGTGTGGATGAGTCGGAGAAGGGTGGGGAGTGAACCAATTCCATCGTAGAGCACTGCACTGTGGCGCTAGGAATGACTGTAAAACTTTAGAAAGTCAATCACATTCCGAGCTGATCGCAAAAACAGTCACCAAGACGACTGCACTCTTCTCACTAATGGGTCACATTTTCTAAGATCGCAGAGCAGGGATGCGTCAACCAAGAGGTCCGAATTGGGGGAGGCGACACGGCCCACGCTGTAGGGTGGAATGTATGCTTTGCGTGAAAAGCATGTGGTTACCGTTTTACAATGGGAGACGCTTTGAGATGGTTACAAGAGTAAAGGACTTTGAATACGGACTATTCATGGCCGTTTCTTGGCTGGTGAGGAAGTTGCGATCTAAGACTCCGTTTAAAATAGTAAACTGATTGTTCCGAGGATTATGACACATTCCGAGGTACGCGAACTTTTCTGATAACATCACATTTACGCTGTAAAATGGATAACAACAATTAGAGAACATTTTTCGCTCTAAATTTCCGTGGTAATGACATAGCGGAACGTTATATTAGCTTTTTTCTCTCACTTGTGACAACTATAATTATTATACTAGTAAATGGTATTTCCAATGGACTCACCAATGGTTGTGAGTTCTCCCTCATCCATTCGTAATCATCGAAGAGACACCTGCAAATATTTTGATTTTTCTTGCCGTCGCTCTCCATGAATCGGAATATCAGAGTTTGACCCCTTTAACGACCGCACTTTCATCGCAGAATGCCAGGCGGCTCATTAGACACCAAACTGCATAGTAACGAAAAATTTTTGCTGAGCACACACTTCCCCTCCCCTGCTGTCAGTATGACCCCTTCAGCCAATAACTCTGAATTCACTTGTCTTCTCACTTCCTTTACCTCTAATCTTCAGAGAGGAGAAAAGTAATGTACAAATCAGCTGGGACCCCAACCCCGTCATAGTGACCCAACTAAAACCTCAGCTACAGTGTGTTCTTTTATAGATCCGTCAACAGAACATATCCCCTCATCTTCGCCATAGACAATACCTCAACTGTCAAAATGGGCAACTGGACTAAAACTGGGAAGCATTTTTTTTTCCGATGTGTCCAAATACCTCCAGGCCTTCGAAGAAACTTGACTAGGCGCCGTTCACTAGGGGTCCCATCAAAACGAATCTCAGTGAGGAGAAGGAGCACAACCTAAGGCTCCAATCCTAGTTTATGAGTTTATGTATGTAGGCCGCTCGGTTTTTTCAAATACTATTTGTTTGTTTACTCTTTGGATACTCATCGCTCTCTACATAATTGGCATGCCTGACGACTCACTAGCCTTGGCCAACAACAACTCCTATTTGTGGTCATACTGCATTCACACGGCTATAGCGAGTAACATTGATACCAACGGCAATGAGCGCAACTTATTTGCGGAAAGACTGTATTACTACTCCGAACAAGTGCCGAGTTGACGGTGGATTCGCCATGAATGTGGACAACTTGTTCAGAAATATGAGCGATTTTTTCTCCTTTTCCCCCTCGTTCCCATCGCTGAACCTTCTACAGCCTGCCTGAGGTTGCCTGTTTCACTGACTTAATCGAGTTTGAGATCGTGATTTGAAATTGATTTTGGCTCATATAAACCTGTATTGGAGGAAACATCGGCACTATTTACCCTTTACTGCCCCAGCCATCCGAAATCAGGCCAGTTCCTGACCGACTTTTTTCTCCGTGGGCAGAATTTGCTGAAAACTTGGCTCCAGGGGTACTTTGACCCGCTGAACACGGATATCGCATCCCGCCCTCCCCCCGCCCCCCCCTCCTAGTGACGCCAAAACCTGCTGGCGCCGCGCCACGGGCAGCCAGCGCAAAACATTTGAAATCTACCGAAACTCGCTGTAAAATCGTGCTCGCCTCCCAGGGGTAGTTTGACCCTGAACACGAATATCACATCCGCTCAACCCGAAACCTCTTGGCGCCCGCACCACGGGCGCCGGCGCCAAAATACCCCAATCATTGGCGCCTGTGGCGCGGGCGCCAGAAAGTTTCGGGCTGAGCGAATGTGATATTCGTATTCTGGAGGTCAAACTACCCCAGGAGACAATTTGAGCAAAATCTGCCCACGGAGAAAAAAGTCGGTCAGGAACTGGCCTGATTTCGGATGACTGGGGCAGTAAAGGGTAAATAGTGCCGAAACATCAAATCCTAAACTTTTATGTGCACATCGGTCTCCACTGAAGGAGGCTTTTACAGAATTCAAATCGAGGCTCACTATCAGTTCATGCATAGAAAATAACCTTTCAAAGGCCAAAGGGCAGCCGATATTCCCCCTTACGCTATGTGATGACGCAATACGGCGGTCACGTAAAGGTAACGCAGCCCCCTGAGCAAGCTTTTACATGTATCGCTATGTACGAAACGTATGGTCTCTTAGGGCGTACCAGCATGCGCTTAGACATCACCGCACTCGCACTCCGCACAACGAACGAGACGCCCACAAATAGTCGCATCGATCAGCAACTGATCGCGACCGGATCAGCTGTTGTCAACTGCAGTAAGCGGCTGAATGGCGTTTTTTCCCCTTCCTCGGCGTCCCTTCTAAAGAAGTTCCGTTCTCACCAGTGAGGAAAATAACTTTCTCTGGCAGGGTGCAAGGTTTTTGCGAGGTTTCTGCTTTTTGCAAGTAGTGCCCGTTTTGGAGTTCTTGATTTCTTTTACTTTTCAGCTTTTTCACTCGATTTCCCCCGAATTTTCGAACCCGCTACGTGAAAATATCATAGACGTTGATGTTGTCGTGAAGTTTGCTGCCACTTAAAATAATGTGTTTTCGTATTTCCTGTGCAGTGGCCCTGATTTTTTCACATTGATCTCTGACCAGCGATGATTCATCTCCGGCGTAAACTTCCTTCCTGGAGCGGTTTAGTAAAAGCCCTATTTCAGGTTTTTGGCCGTTTCATCCCATTTTGCTTTATTGTCGTACTACTACGTCCCTCTGCTCCCGTTTTCTGCAGAGAAGCAAATTATCGTGCTCATTGCCTTTCAAAATAGGGCTCAACGGTCCCACAATCTGTACGAAGGGGCAGCAACTAACCCACTTCTTAGCAAATCTCGAACAAAAATGTTCCTGCGGAGCTCCATGCACCACATGTCACCCACTTCCGCTCCAGGAAGGCGGCTATGAACAGATATTTCTGCTCCGGGAACAGCCGCGATCTCTGTGAACTCGAATTAGCAGCGGAAGATACATGACTAATGTGGAAAGTTGCAGGTGGCAAATGAGCATCGAGAATTATCTGAGGGGTTTTGCAGACTAACCCCTCGTCCCCCACCTCTCTCCTTCCACCCTCCGACCCCTCACCGCTGAACTCTTTGGTTTTTTTTTATTTAGAAACTCCCAGCGTTTGAGAGAGCAAGTAAATAGTACTAAATCATTCACACCTGTTATACATGCAACTTGTCGCCGATGTGTGTGGTTCGAATCGACACGCTCGTCGTATCATATGCATTTTCTCCTCCAATCTCATCAAGTCATCCACCAGTAATTTAACATCATTCTAGAAGAATTTTACTTCACAACAACTTAAAAAAGGATAAAAATTGGGCACTGATATACCCAAGGATAGTTAATAATACTTGATGATACTCGATGATACTCTATGATAATAACGCGCGTAACTCTGCTTAACACGTTTTTTCTTGGGGCTTGTCACTGAAGGCTCCTCTTATATAAGCTACCCTCACAACTGCTACCTATATGCTATACTGAAAATTGAAGGCAGTGGCCGATTGATGAGGGCGGGCGGTTGTCGCCAACGTCGTCGTCGAATCTCATTGGTGGAAGGGCTGAGTGGGGGGTGGTCGAACAGCCGCTCGATTTTTGCCCGCCAATGACACTGGCAACAACCGTCCACCTCCAGCAATCGTGCCCACTGCCTTCAGTAAATCTCCCAGAAACATATCATATACAAGAATAATAGGTAAACAGAAGAAAACCCTTTCAAATTTTTGAACTGTCACTGTGAACTTGCTTGCCTGAGACTCAAGATCGAATGCAGAATTATCGAGCTCTGGAATAATCATCATCGTACTGGACGAAGGAGTGGACGTGTTGACATACTGGTCAGAACTGAAAAAAAGCTCATAAAAATGATATTGAGCTGAGCAACATGTCTAATGGGTATTCCTCTACCACCTTTTAGCAACGTGCTGAACATCTGAGTAAGGGAAACCTTATGTAAGGGCACTCGCTGCAAATATGAACAGTGCGGTGAAAATAGCAACTATTATTGAGAAGCAAATTGAAATTTGTGAAGAGGTCGAGCTGCCCCTACTCTCATGTTGTCTAATTGTAAGAGACAACCCTCCCCCCCCCCTCGCTTCCTTCAAGGGAGTAGTCCAAACAGAGTCCAATCCCAATGCCTATCCCTCCCCCCCCCCCCCCCATCTCACCTCACCACTCCTTTCTCTCCGGTACAATCTTCCACAGTCTTCCAGAAATACAACTGTCTCGTTGACCGGGTAATAGGGACTATCAGAGAGCCCTCTTGGTAAGTCAACAAGGCCCGATACCGAAAACTACCCTCCTCCCGAACGACTCGAATACTAGTACCCTTCCATACTCTACCTTAGCATCCTTCACAGATGTTGCAGCCTGGATGAGTTTATTATAGAAGCAAATGTGTATTTACATGTGTGAACACATGCTGTTTAAAACGCTTCAAAATCCGGAAATAAGGCTCTGATATCGTACGTTCCCGCCTTGGTAGCCACGCTCCTCTAGAGAACGTTACCAGTACGCCTGGGGCTGCTAGTGGAAAAAGTAACGGTGACTACCAAGAAGAGGAGACGGCGCGATAGTGACCCTGAGAAGAAGACGAGGAAGTATAGCGGCATGAAGAATGAGCTGTTGTAAGCCTGACTCCGCCCTTACAGACATGTAGAGTGCTACTGTGTTGCTTTACGAAAAAATATCAACATGAAGCAGAAGCAAAGAATAAGAGAAGCTTACGTTGCACTGCTCGGGCTGCCAACTTCTTCTTTCAAAGCGAGCTCTGATTGTTCTCTCAGTCGTCGTTCTTCTTCTTTCTTCTTCTTCAACGCTTTTGTATATCGAATTTTGTCGCGGTCATGTTGGATGGCTGAAAGAGATCC